GTCTTGGATAACAAATTTAGAAAGCATAGTATATGTAGGGTCCAGTACTATCCGAGTTTCAGGCACACACTGGGGGTCTTGGAATGCATCCCCTGAAGATAAAGGGGGGACTACTCTATCCTTAGCAATTGCTTACAGTAGAGAAATGTATGAGATCAATACATAATAATCCTCTTTGTTGCAGTGACTTTCATAACACTGATGTCACACTAGGGACCTGCAAGAGATTCTGGGAAAAAGAACCACAGAATTCGGGGACAGTGATGTACAGACAGAAACCATGTCAGGAAAGTCCCCAAGTTTGGGAGCGCCGTAGGAGACTGGGGAAGGAGGGAAGGAGAGAGAATGTTTCCTTCCCAAGCTGCAGTGTTGTAATTAGCCCTCACCAGGGAGACTGGTGTTTAGCACATCAGGCTGTCTGTCCCCGGGAAGGCCTCATGGCTTAGTAAAATGGAGCAGAGTAAGACAGCTCATTACAGAGCTGTTCTTTGCATAAGAATGGGAAGATCTCATTTCTGCCTTTCTCTCTGCTTAGGAATTGCTTTGATCATTACCAAGTCAGAGGATGCTCTGTTTTGGTAAGGGAAAACGATGATGAATATTCTTTCAAGTTCAAGGAGTAGATAATTGTTATATAATTAGCCAAAACTTCACCTTAGAATTGGCTGGAGGCTCACCCCTTGTGAAGGTTGGAGGAGTTGTTTTCTTTCCTTGTCACCTGCTTCATTATGGCGATATCAGTTGCTAAATTCCTTTAGCCATGTCCATCCCTCCTTCCTTTTTCATGGTCCTTCTTTAGTTCAACCAGATTTGTTTGCCAAGTAGATCAAAAGACAACTTCCTAGGTGGAAAATGACCCCTAGTTATTAATCATGATTCAGTAAGTAACGCAGGAGGGCATTAAGGCAATTGGCAGTGATAAGGTCTGGTAGAGCCACAGCGAAATGAACTCCAAAATCATTCATTTATCAGCAAACATTTGCTGACTACAAATTCAAGGTTAATCTGACAGTCAGCTAATAATCCCCAACAAAGCCTCTCCAGGATTTATGCCTGCAATACAATACTCAGCAAACCAGACAAAATCATAGGAACCCACAGTAGCAGTGGGGACTAAAATGAACAGCTGAATGTGTGCCAGTGTATGGGGAACAGTTTTTACTGGATTGCAAGAAGATTATCAAGACCTATCTATCCCCTGCCCCCTTAACTGGACTTGGACTCCGTCCGGAACAGAAGGCAGAGAATTGACTTGCTAGCGCTGTTGAACTACGCCCCACCACCAAAATTCCTATTTTGAACTCATCACCCTCAGCACCTCAGAAGTCGCCTTATTTGGTGATAGGGTCTTTACAGAGGTAATCAAGTTAAATGAGGTTCTTAGGGTGGGCTCTAAACCACTGTGACTGAAATCCTTTTAAAAGAAATTTGTACACAGAGGGAGGACAGTATGAAGAGACACAGGGATAAGAAGGCCATCTACAAGCCAAGGGAAAAGATCCGAGCAAACGCTTTCTTTTTAGCCCCCTGAGGGACCCAACTCTGTCCACACCTGGATCTTGGACATGTACCTCCAGAACTGTGAATAAGTTTCTGTTATTTAAACTACCCATTACGGCAGCCTTAGCAAACAAATACAAGTACTTTCTGCAGCTAATATGAGGAAGAACATTTTACAGCCTTCAGGCAAATCATTATTTGCAGAAGAGAGTATTCATTCCTTCCCATTCTCCACTTAAGAGCCTTTTATCCTGTCCTGGGGGAGCTACAATTTTCCTGAGGCAGCTGAGCAGGTAGGAGACAAAAAAGGCAGGTGCTGAGGGCTGGCACCTGAGAGGTGTGCTCTGTCACTGCAGGACAGACATGGAAGAGAGCTGCTGAGAAGGGAGAGAGCACAGAGAGAAGGGACCAGTGGTTTCTCCTGTTTCTTCTCAGATCAAAGGAGCAGGTAGCTGTTCTTTATTGCAGAGAAATGGGTGTTTGAGAGAAGAGAAGTTTCACTGCAGTTTAGCAAAATTACACAAAATTAACACTTTCTAGATCCAGAAAAAAACTTGGGCTGGCACTGTTCAATGTGCCTTTCAGATTAAGATCCAAGAGAAGATTCTACCAGTTCCCAAATGGTGAATGGACCCTGTCTGTGCCAAACCCAGATTTAGATGGCTCTCCTTTCAAGAAACCAGCTGGGGGCTCATAAAACATACTCTATTGCATAAGATAAGTAAAGCATTTGTCTGAAGAAGTTTTTAAAAAGACATTCTTTTGATAACTTAGCACAAAAAAGAAATATCAGAAAATAGCATATGGGGAGGAGGGAGGGAGAGGGGGATGGGTGGAGTGAGGGTGATTGGAGGGATCACTTCTATGGTTTATCTTACGAGGGTACAAGTGAATCTTTCTAAGAGTAAAATATAAGCGTCTTAACAGAATAACTAAGAAAATGAGATGAAGGCTATGTTGATCGGTTTGATGAAAATATTTCAAATTGTATATGAAAACACCACACTGTACCCCCATGATTGCATTAATGTGCACAGCTATCATTTAATAAAAAAAAAAAAAGAAACGAAAATAGTTATATTAGTTTCTCTGAATATACAAGAACAGTTTTCTTTACTCAATGGAGAAGTCAGATGAAGAAAATCAAAAGGGTCTGGTTAAGTGAAAACCACAAGGAAACTAAAAATGCAGTTTCAGAATTAAAATTTCATTGAAGGGAGCAATAGGCACAGAAAGCTGAACTGGTCTTATAGAACAAAAATTAGAGTTGTTCTAGAACAGAAAAGAAAAAGGGCAAACTATGAAAATTTGAGAGTGAAGTTGTTAGTTACCGAAAGGCTAGCCAGAAATCCAACTCACATATCAAGGATTCTTGGAAAAGAAATCACCATAAATTTAAGAGCTACCATAAAATTATAATAGAATAAAACTTTCCTTAGCAGGAAAGTTTCTACTTTCCAGAATCAGCATAGAATGGGTTTGCATATTCACACTAGCATTGGGGGTAGGGGGTAGGGGAATCTATATCCATTAATATTTCTTTCACCTTCTGGAAATTTTTTTAATTTAAAAATTTCCTTATACATCCCACCAGGGAAAATAACCAATACCTGAAAGGAAACAAAAATTACTCTGACCTCAGTCTTCTGATAGATGGCCACACATGCCAGACCACAACAGAGCATAATCTGTATGGAATTTTTAGCAGAAAAGATTACGACCTTACATACTTAGCTATATTGTTATTCATGTATGAATGATAATCTCAGGTATACAAGAACTCTGAAAATAGGACAATCACATCCTTGACATTAATAAAAATTAAATCAATGTAAAGATATATTATAACCGACGGAAAAATGAATTAAAATTTAGGACTCAAAGGATGAAGTAGTACTACAAAAGTGATAATGAGAATTGTAATCTGTCAAACATAATCTCCACCCATTTGTTATATATGAGGTAGTAATTAAATTGGAAAGAGGTTTATATTTTATTAAAAACAGCAATACTTTTCAGTGAGTATTAGCTTAAGATACATAGTATAAGTAGGGTTGGGAGGGTGGAAACAGGTGTTTGTCATGAGAAGAAGTAAGGCTATTATCAATTAGGTTTTGTTGATTTAATAATTAGAGAAATATAGATTAAATATATTTTTATCTAACATTTATTTGTATCTTTTTCTGATTATAAAGGAGATATATGTTTATCTGGGAAACTGGACTATCAAGTAGGAAAAAAGTCTCTTATAATTACAGCACCCAAACATAGTCATTCCCACTGTTTCACATTTCATCATTGGAGTTGGCTGCCATACTTAGAATTTTGTAATCTGCCTTTTACATGTGGCTAAATAGATCCTTAACTGATATGATTTTTAATTATTGATAGCAAATCATCCCATTTGTATCGGTTTTCTATTGTTGCTATGACAAATTAGCACAAACTTAATGGCTTGAAATAAATGTATCATTACCTTACAGTTCAGGAAAAGTCTGACGTGGGTCTTAATGAGATAAAGTCAAGGTGTTGGCAGGGCTGTGTTCTTTCTATGGGTGTAGGAATGAATCCTTTCCTTGCTTTTTCTAGCTGTTGAAGGCCAACTGCATTCCTTGGCCCATGGCCTCCTTCCTTCATCTTCAAAATGGTTAAGTAATTTTTTAACTTGTTTCTTAGCTGTCCTGAGACTATAGCTGAGAAAGAGTCTCTGCTTTTAAAGACTCATGTGATTCAACTGGGAAGACCTGAGAGCCCAGGATAATCTCCCCATCTCAAGGTCCTTAATCCCATCTGCAAAGTCCCTTGTGCCTTATAAGGTAACATATTCACAGAGTCCTGAGATTAGGGCTTATACTTCTTAGGCGTGGGGGAAGCAATATTCTGCCTGGTACACTACTCTATGGTCATAACTCATTTAGCCAGTTCTCCTTTGTTTGGCATTTGTTTCAAGATTTTTTAAATATTAAATAACAAATATTCTCCTACATAAGTCTGTGCAAACTCTTTCCACAGGGCAAATTTCTAAAATTGGAATTCTAAGTCAAAGGTTATTTTCTTAAGTGCCAAAGCTCTTGACATGTTGTTGAATTTACTTCCTGAAAGGTCTAAACTCATCTCTCTCTAGTGATATATGGAAATGCCTGATTTGGCATCTTGGCAACTGGGAACTATCTATCTGCTTTTAAATGCTTTTTAATGTTTGACAATATGTTGTGTGAAAAATATTACCTAATTGTGCCAACTGTGTTTCTTTGATCCTGAACCTAAACTATTTCTTTCTGTATTTTTAGTGGCCATTTGTATTTCTAATGTTTTGAAATTGGCTTACCTCCTTTGTCAATTTTCATACTGGGGTTTGTCTTATTTCGATATTGGCTTGTGAGAGTTGTCTCTGTGTAAAGAATATTGACTCATATTTCCCTGATGATTAGAGATGTTGAGTATGTTTTCACATTTGTTAGTCATTAGTCTATCTTCTTCTTCTTTTTTTTTTTTTGTTAAGAAATATGGAATGCTTCACAAATTTGCATGTCATCCTTGTGCAGGGGCCATGGGCCTCTGTATCATTCCAACTTTAGTATATGTGCTGCCAAAGCAAGCACTAGTCTATCTTCTTTAGAAAAGCTTCTATTCATGTCTTTTGCTCACTTTTTAATGGGGTTTGCTTTTTTCTTCTGATATGCTTGAATTCTTTGTAGATTCTGCTTATTAGCCCTTTACTGGATGTATAACTTGTGAATATTTTCTCCCATTGTATACATTGTCTTTTTACCTTTGATTATTCCTTTAGCTGTACAGAAACTTTTTCTTTTACTCAAATCCCATTTATTTGTTTTCTTACTGTTGTGGTTGTCATTGGGGTCTTAGTCATGAATTTTTTGCCTAGGCCAATATCTTGAAGAGTTTTTCCTATATTTTTCTGTAGATTTCATATGGTCTTATGTCTTACATTTAACTTTTTATCTATCCTGAATCACTTTTTGTGAGTGGTAAGAAATAGGGGGTCTATTTCATTCTTCTGCATGTGGCTATCCAATTTTCCCAG